CCCCCCCCCCCCCTAATACAGACTGTTGTATCGTTCCAAAGTTAACGGATGTCCCGAAGGGCTTTTTTTGTTTTTTTTGTTTTTTGCTCTAGTACAGACTGTTGTAATACTCCAGGAATATAATAATACTAACATGTGCGTGCTAACCTTCTTCCCCCGAAGATTATGTATGCGGTCATTATAACTGTATTTGATGTATCGTTCAGTTTGAATACTCAGCTATAATGAATGACCACATACGTTGTATTCGGGGGAAGAAGGTAGGTAGCACATTTTATTAATCAAGTTCAGACCGTACGTTGCATTCGGCGGAAGAAGGTAGTTCTCTTTCTTTCTTTTGCTTTGTCGGAAAGTCTGGTGGTGGTGGTCCCGCAAGGAAGGAGGATCTGGGGAGAAGCCCCCTGAGGAGTGAGTGCCAGGAATGCAGCAGCCTGATTAGCCGAAACGCCCCCTGAGGGGAAATTGCGCCTTCTTTTTTCTGAGAGCTGTACACGCGGAGAAGAAATGCAAATCTGTTGATGCTTGTATTACGACAAGCAGTCTATGACCACTGTTTTCACTATTCTTCTTTTTCTTCTTTTTATTCTCCCACTAATACAGTATGTTGTTAGTACGCCAGGAATATGAGAACATGTATGAATGACCTTCTTCTCCTGAATACTACGTATGCGGCGGTCATTATTGCTGTGTATTGAGACGTCGTTCAGTCTAAATACAGCTATAATGACCGCATAGGGTTGTATTCGGGGGAAGATGGTGGGTAGTGCATTTACTAATCAAGTCAGACGCGGGTACGCTTGCCACGTAGGACGAATTGGAGAGAGAGACGAGATGATACTACCGGCTTCCCCCGTTATGCACCCTGATTCTGAATGTATACAAGCTATCTTTCCGTCCTCATGCAGCCAAAATGAAAGTGCGATATGTTCGGGGGAAGACGGGAGTTATCCTATTACTATAAGTGTCATCTACCCGTCGTCACCCGAATAGAACGTACTGTCATTATATAGCCGTATTTGGCTCACCTGTTAGTCCAGATGCAGCAGAAATGATCGTGCGGTCTATTCAGGGGAAGAAGGTAGTCTGCATAATTCATTGTCTTGTATCGTTTGTCATCATTCTTTATTTATATATATTTTTATATTTTTTGTTTTAAATTTCTATGGTTCATATGCTTCGAGTAGCGGAATTTCGTGATTACCGCTAATCACGTTGTTTGATTCTCCCACGAGCGCACGGCAGAAAGCACCTGGACGTGCCGGACGTCAAGGTGAGTGTCGCCTCCCCGTGATGTCGTCGAGGTACCTTCTGCTGGCATTGGCGTGCGGGTGGAATTCCTCACGTGTTAATGGCAAGTGCAGAACGGGTCCATTTTTACTGTAATACTCACGCATGAAATCAAAATATTGAATACATAGATGCATGTGATATATAATGTAAAAAAAAAAGAAAAACCGAGTAAAAAGATAAAAAATAAATATATAAAAAAAGAAACCAAGGAAGGAAAAACACAAAAAAAAAGAAACTCGAGAAAAAATAAAAAATAAGAAAGGAAAATATGTTATGTGGGATGGTAATTGGATTATCTGTGGGATGTGTCACTTGCTTCGTCTGTTTAATAGGCTTTCTTCTTCTGTGAGGTTTGGTTTCCTCCGCCTTTTCTTTACCTCTCTGCCTTTTGGCTGCGTGCAAGTGGGTCTTTATGACACACGGGGATGGGGGCAGCCAGCGCTCAACCTGTCTGTCATCCACGTGGCTGGCCTTGTACGTGAAAGGTGATGAACAGGTGGGGCTTTCCTTCCTTCTTTTCCTTTCCTTGTTTTGCTTTCTTCCGCCTTGGCGCTCTGATTTACAGTGTGACGATATGACGATATATATGTGGGAATCATCATCTAGGATTGTTTTTTATGATGTCCCGGTACGAATTGCTTACGATGGACTTAGCCGAATAGGAATACCAACTTCTTGATGTCGAACAAGGCCATCTGCTGTGTATAGATATGTATCTGGGACTTTTTTTGATTTCTTTGCAGACAAGAATGTTTTGACATCCTGGTTGGTCTTGTCCCGTCGTTTGGCCTGTGTTGGGGCGGTGCTTGCATGTGGGACTTGTCGTCATCTGGGATCTGTTTTGTTGCCCCCTGTTCTGTTTTATTTGGCTGTTCCCTTCCTCTTTTCTTTGCCTCTTTGCCTTTTGGCTGTGTGCAAGTGGGTCGATATGACACACGGGGGTGGGGGCAGTCGCCGCTCAAACCTACATCCACGTGGGCGGCCTTGTACGCAAGAGGTTCTGAACAGGGGGAGTCTTGTAAGGAAGAAGATAAAAAATGAATTGATATCTTTTTTGTTTCCTTTTGTTTTTTTTTTCGCTTTTGCGCTCTGATATTCATGTGACGATATATATATATTTATATATTGTCACAAGAATATCAGAGCGCAAATGCGAAAAAAAGTCAAAAAAAAGAAAAGAAAGAAAGAAAAAACTTCCTTATAACTCCCCCTGTTCAGAATCTCTTGCGTACAAGGCCGCCCACGTGGATGTAGCTTGAGCGGCGGCTGCCCCCACCCCCGTGTGTCATATCGACCCACTTGCACACAGCCAAAAGGCAAAGAGGCTAAGAAAAGAGGAAAGGAACAGCCAAATAATACAGAACAGAGGGCAACAAAACAGATCCCGGATGACAAGTCCCGCATGCAAGCACCGCCCCAACACACACACGCCAAACGACGGGACAAGACCAACCAGGATGTCAAAACATTCTTGTCTGCAAAAAAAAAAAAAAAAAGTCCCAGATACATATCTTTACACAGCAGATGGCCCTTGTTCAACATCAAGAAGTTGGTATATTCCTATTCGGCGTCATCGTAAGCAATTCGTACCGGGACATCATAAAAAATATATATATCGTCGTCTCTCGCAACGAATTTGCCTTGATTGGTGGCCTCATATGATTCACAAATGGATTGCTTTATTTTTCTCTGTTTTTTAAATGTTTAACCTCCAATCCTTTTTTTGGAATTTCCTTTTTAAGCACTGATTCGGGAAAAAAATTATACCCTTTACATAGGTTTTTTTTTTTTTTTTTGGGCGGGGGCATACAGTATTTATATTTATATGTAATATAGATTCACAGTGTGACAATATATATTTGTGACGATATATATGTATACAGCCTCCTGATGAGTCGGTGAAACTCCGACGAAACCGTATGTAGCAAGCGTACCCTCGTTTGTTGTCCTCTTCTCCCTCCCTCCCTCTCTGCCTGCGGTTTATCGGCCAGCTTTGTTTGGCGATATATATATATGTACATAGGAAAGAAGGAAGGAAAGCTCCGCCTGTTCATCACCTCTTACGTACAAGGCCGGCCACGTGGGATATCGTCAGACAGAGCTGCCTACGGTAAACCGTAGTGGCAGAGAGGGAGGGAGGGAGGGGGAGAAGAGGACAACAAACGAGGGAGGGGCTGTGACAAACGGTTTCGTTGGAGTGTCACGGACTGACTCATCAGGAGGCTGAACCTATATATGTATACATACAGTATGTATGACATGCTGAGGACGAATTAGTCTTGGTGCTGTGCACCTGAGCTGGGTCTGCTTGGCCCAAGGCTCCTTTAAGAGGGTTGGGAAGGGGGATTAAAAACGTTTTTACCGTGCACTTAGGGTCAGATTCAGTCTCCTAGTCACTCCATGAAGTCGCAGGAGGAATGTCTTCTGCCCTTGTGGTACTTTTCCGGTCACTCCGGAGACTGAATCTGACCTGACCGAAAAATCGACACCTTGTAGGTAAATTCTTACCCTAAAATGGACGTGTATCTCTGGCCGTGATTGCAGTCAGATTCTTCTTGATCTGGCCGTAATTGCAGTCAGATTCATCTTGATCTGGCCGTATTTGCAGTCAGATTCATTCAGGAAAGTACTAGTGTGAGTATACCCTAAGACGATTAGCTCAGTTCTCAACGTGCATGAATGGATCACTACTTCCCGATCCCACCTCCCTCTCCCTCTCCCTCTCCCTCTCCCTTGGCTTTTCTTTTCTTAATTTTACCTCCCTCTCCCTCTCCCTCTCCCTCTCCCTTCGCTTTTTTTTCTTAATTTTACCTCTACCTCCCTCTCCCTCTCCCTTCGCTTTTTTTTTTTAATAATTTTACCTCCCTCTCCCTCTCCCTTCGCTTTTTTTTTCTTAATTTCACCTCCCTCTCCCTCTCCCTTCGCTTTTTTTTTCTTAATTTTATCTTCCTCTCCCTCTCCCTCTCCCTCTCCTTTCGTTTTTTTTCCCTTAATTTTTTAAAATTTCACTCATCTAGTTTCATCATCTGGATTCGGACTTAGGTCTGTATTTCAGCGGTTCATGGGTGTACCATCCCTCTCCCTTGGCTTGTCTTTTCTCTCCCTTTCTTTTTTATTTTTATTTTTAATTTCACTCTACTAGTTTTATAATGTGGACTCGAACGTAGGTCTCTGTATTTCAACAGTTGATGGGTGCACCATCCCTCTCCCTCTTCTCTCTTCCGCAAAAAAAATGATTTCACTCATCTAGTTTTTATTATTATTATTTATTTATTATTATTATTATTATTATTTTTTCACTCGTCTAGTTTCATCATCTGGATTCGAACTAAGGCAGAAGTTTCAATAGTTCATGGGAGTACCAGGTGCGCTACCGTCTTCACCGGAACGCCGCCCGGTCATGAAAGCTGCTG